AAATGGAAAACATACAATTTTGTGGTTGTTCCCCTTTTGAAATTTTCTCAAAGCTGGAATATTCAAGCATGCAAAAAAGTTGGTAAAGTTTTCTTTTAGGATGTTCTTAACAACATTTTCAAGGAGATTGAGCATACTGGCTTTACGAGATCTTTAAGAATGGTAATTACTCCCACTTAAAACTCTGTGTATATAAATATTATGTAGGGAACCAGCAGTTAGCGTAATGGCTATGTCGCTGGATTCCCACGTAGATGGAGGAGAAGGGATTGCGGCGTGACCATCCCCCCTGGGGGGTGATTTCTCGCTTTCTGTCTCTATGTCTCTCTCTGTCTGTCTGGCGAGCGCACACGCCCTACAGTGAAAATCTCTCAAAAAAAAAATATTATGTAAAGAAGAGATTTGAATTTTATTTCTTTGTGTGTGTATGTGTTGTAAGTAAACCTTTCACACATTCCTAACAATGGCTGTGAATTTGAAAACACCCAAAATGCGTGAAGAATGATGACAACTAACATTTGTAGGGACTCACCTGTGATCTTGCCAGTATCCTTTGTTTGTGATATGAGGAAACTTCTCTCAAACAGCTCCATTTTTCTCAATACTTATTTAACAGAGAAGAAATCTAAGCCTGAGAGAAATCAAGGCACTTTCTTCAAATCTAATATGTGAGGAACTTGTCTATTTTCAAAGTCAATATTCACTGTAACACTCTGCCTCTTTTTAGAGTCCCGACAATAGTGTCTTATTCTAAACCAAGCAATTTCTCTACATCTCTACCACTATTTCAATCATGAATTCAACCATTTATTTAACATATATTGAACAAATGCCCTGGATAAGATTTTAAGACTAGGAAAATGACCAGATAGCTCTCATCCTAGAAGGCTTTGGGAGGAAGACAAGGAAATTAATAACACGATGTGTTGTGATGTGCATGAGAAAGGGAACTGTGAATCTTACAGAGTGTCTGACTTTACTGGGAGCCAATGACCTTGAGATCTACCCTTACTGATTTTTGATCTTTTCTTTACTATTCACTTTAATATTCACTCATATCCAAATTCACTCTCACACATTTTCATTCATTCTTGCATGTCCCACTCAAACCCTACTTCAGTTTTGAGTGTTTTCAGAAAGTAATATGTATTTTAAAAGCAGCTAGGGACCAGCAGTTGGTGTAATGGCTATGTTGCTGGACTCCCATGTGGCTGGCTCCTGTTTGAGTCCTGGACCTGGTGGCTTAAACTCATGCCGAGCATATGTGCGTGCATGCCCAAGATCCCAAGAGCAGAAGGGATTGGGGAGTGGCCATCCCCCCTAGGGGGTGATGTTTCGCTTTCTGTCTGTCTGTCCCTGTCTTTCTGGCTAGTGCACATGCCCTATAGCAAAAACCTCTCCAAAAGAAAGAAAAAAAAAAGCAGCTAAGTGGTTTTCACTTGTGCTCTAAAGAAAAATGTACACCTTGGTTATTATAAATATTGTCAACCAAGAAGTCACTTGGAGGACACATGGATTATAAATTATAAAAATTTCCTAGATTGCATATTGTGAACTTGCCAGCCAAAACCCAGTTATTGAGCATAGGATATATGCAAGACACTGTGTTAGTTAGGGTAGAAGATTCAAAGTGATAATGTTATAAAAGTAACTCCTGTGACCAGGGAGTATACACGTGTCAAACAATGGTATACACAATAGGTGCTGAACGAGATCGGAGGAAGAGATGGCTTCCACACACAGTGATCAACGAGGCTATAGCAGTTAGAGGGCTGGGATGGTTGTCCCTCCTTGGCCTGTGATTGTGAATAAGCAAGAACGACAATCCTGGAACGAGCAGGGTATGATTGCCAGGTCTCCAGACCCTCAGGAATGAGGATCAATGTCAGAGCATTTGGTAAGCCTCCAAAAACAACAAAGGTGATATCTGAGAGTGAGAGAACTTAATGGACATTGGGGGAGTGGGAAGATCAGTGGTGTTGGCCTGAGACCAACTACTGTGATGGGGCTCTAACCTCCCTCTTCTGTTTCTATTCAGGAAGCTGCTATACCAGGAAGAAGCTGCTCCCTAACATGGGTTTCCAGAAAACCATTTCCTTTAGCACAAAGGGTGGATTGTGGCAGCCAGGGAAAGGCCTGACTAGAAGCTTCCTATTCTTCCACCTTTGGGCTCTTAAGGCCTTTATCCCCGGAGAGGATACTCTCTTTCTAGGGGGACACAGTGACGGCTCCTCTCAACCTTAAGCCATTGCTATTGCCTGCATTCTTTGAACTCCTGTTTAGAGATCAACAGCTGAGAAGAGGAATCCCCATCATGCTGGGCTATTGGCCTTGAGTGTAAGAGGAGGCAGGGCTGATGTTACACAGTGGGGGCAGAGAGGGACATGTGTGGGACTCAGGTCACCCACTCAAGCATAGGTATGCATGTGCTTTCTGGATCCACCTCACTTTAACAGTGGTTTGCAAGAGTGTGTTTTTCTAAGAGCTCCTCACATGATTTTAATGGGTAGGTAGAGTTGAAAATTGCTGCTAATCTCTTTCTCATTCTATTTTCTTTCCAAGATAACCCTCATTACACACACAGGAGATAGATAACAAGGTGCTATCATTCATAGAAGAGAGAGCCGAGGTAATTTCTACACGTTAGACAATAAAAACCAGTGCTTTACTTAATCTGGGTAATAACAGATAACACGTACAAATCATGTTAAATAACAGTACAGGGAAAAGTGAGTTTTCTTCTTCCCACCCCAGACTTGCATATTTTCCCCTCTTAGTCTAATGACTATATTTGATAAAATCACTATGGTTTTCTTTGCTAGGTAAATTTTAAATTTATTCTAACTTTTTTTCCTTCTGAAAATTATTTATGATTTTTTTTTTAATTTGCCAGAGAGCACATGTGCTGACCAGAGAGAGATGGGGAGGGAAAAGGCACCCCCCGCCCCAATAGGGTGTGGCCACATCATAATCCTTCTCTTCCATTTCTCCAGCCTGTTGGGATTTGGATACACAGGTACATGTTCCCAGTGTGTTTTTCAAGCTACCAGGACTGGGATTCAAAACATGGTCAGCCATTTGGGATCTGGGTTGCTTAATCATTAGCCTATAGGACAGTTAGAGAGTCTTGTAGGTACCAACAAGACACGGTACCTTTGCTAGAACTTATTAATATGACCTCAAGTATAAAATATATAACCACAGATCTGGCAAATGCATTTTTCAGTAACCCAGTTGGAAACGAAGATCAGAAACCATTTCCATTCACATGAAAGAGACAGCAGTGTGCATTTATACTTTTGTCCCAGAGCAATGTCAGTATTAATCCTTTTGCTGTCTGTCATAACATAGTCTGAAGAAATCTGACTTGCCTTGATGTTTGTAGAAGGCTGAATATAGACCTCTAACACCTACTCAAGGGAGTTCATGTCTTACTCCCTGAAACCTGTAGGTGGGGAAATGAAACATGTATGTCATTTTATGTGGCAAAAGAACTTTGCAGCTGTGATTAAATCAAGAACCTTGAGATGGAAAGATTATCCTGGATTATCTGAGTGGGCCTGAGGTCATCACAAGGATCCCTACACATGAAAGAGGAAGGCAGGAAGAGATGTAATGTTGCATGCAGATGAGAGCTAGATGGATAGACGGATAGACAGGTAAATAGACAGATAAATAGGTATGGAGAAAGAGGAAGGAGGGAGAGAGAAAGGGAAAATTATTGGTTGGGGTATGCCACTGGCATGAGATAGAGGCAGGAGCCATGAGTCAAGGAGTGCAAGGAGCCTCTAGACGCTAGAAAAGGTGGAAAGGAGTGTTCTTCTCTACCATCTCCAGAAGCAACACAGGCCTGCTGACCTCCAGAACTATAAGATTTGTGTAGTTTTAGGCCACTAAATTTGTGATTACTTGTTATAGCAACAATGTAAAACTAATAAGGGAACATCAGAATGATAATAGGAGGCAGGATAGTTTCAAGTTTAGTGAATTCAGCAGCTTAAGGGCAGGTTCTTCATCGGTTTTCTCTTTGATGCCATCAGTGTGGTTTTTACTTTTGTTTTCAGGTTAATCTCCCCATGGTGACAAAGCTGCTGCTTCAGTTCCAAGCATCACATCTCACACACTGTTCAGCCAAGAAGGAACATGATCACTGTATTTAATTTTAGGAATAAATAATACTTTCTCATAAACAGTAGAATATATTTTGATGTGTATGTCCACATTGACCTGCAAGTCAGGATAACTAAAGGAGACATTGCAAAGAGTTGTATAGATGCTGAGCTATGATGTCAAACAGGTAAGGGATGTTTGAATCTCTGGGTATCCTCCTGTTTGATAAAGATGAGAGTTGGTGGGACTAGTACATGGCATAATGGTTACGTTGCAGCACTCTCACATAGTTGACCAGTAGTTTGAGTCCTGGACCCATTGCTTAAAATTCATGACAGGCACATGTGTGTGCGTGCCCAAAATCCCTAAAGGAGAATGCGGGGGTAGGGAGTTGTAGCATGGCTATCCCTTCGGGGGAGGGGGGTAATTTCTTGCTCTTTGTCTCTCTTTCTGGCAAGTGAGTACATCCTGTAGCAAAAATCTCTCTGAAAAAAAAAAAAAAAAAGAGAGAGAGAGAGTTGGTATGCAGGGTAGTCTAAGTCTACCCCAACTGCAGTGTTGGTTGAGATGTGAATTCAGTGAATATTTTGAAACACAATTAATGAAGTATCTTGCATAGAAAGTCATAGTATTCCAAACAAAATATAATTCAAAGTACTTTTTAGCAAGCAGCTTATAACCTTAAAAACCTATAATCTTCTTTTGAAAGCTCGAAGTACAGACTTCCTCTTAAAACCAAAATGTATTTATTTACTTATAACTAATGCTTTCTCAACGTGATGTTTTTCCCTCCAAACTAAATTTCATTGAGCTATTCTATTTATTAGTTTATTCTGTTAATTATACCCCATTTTGTTCTGAGGTCCGGCAGAGCAAAATGATGTCATGGTTCACTGACATAAGGCAATCTGGGTAGAAATTAGGTTGGAAATCTTTGCAAGGGTAGTTGCAACTTCATCAAGGTTTCTTCTGCAGTTCACAGCCCTGTGATTGACAGTCGAGGAGGTCCTTTGTGATTGGAATGCAACTGATGAGAAATAGATCTCAGAGTTAATTGAAACCTTTGGAAGTTGCTCCAGTCTTCAAACAACAATGAAAAACTCTTACAGTGTTAAATTCAAAAGGAGTGATTTCTCATTTTCCCTCTCTCTCTGTTTCTCTCTGTTTGTCTCTGGAGAATGCACATACCCTATGGCAAAAGCCTGGGGGAAAAAAAAAAAGCAGATTTATCACGTAATATTTTTTATGGGAAAGCACTTTGGGTACATGTCTAGTCTCATTTATTACATAAATCCTCTGCAGCTGCTGAGCAGTGTCAGGAGGGCTGAACTCATCTAGGACAGAGTATGATTCTGAGGAAAGGGTACTGGACCATGAGTCAGGAGATGGGGTTTCTGAGGCGTGCACTGCTGTTGATGCCCTGAGCAGTCAGAATGAACCTCCACTCTAATTTTCCTTGGAGACTAAAATTATATCTTGTATATAATATTACTGCTACTACTACTATTTCTTGAGTGCTTACTGGAAAGTAGGTATTATGGTAGGTGCTTTACATAATTTAGTTTGTTAATTCTTTACAAGCCAGAGAAGGTCAGCGTAGCTCATCTTTACAAATGAGGAAACTGAAGCTCACAGGGGCCCCATAATGTGGTTTAAGATCATAGAGGTGTGCAGGAGTTAGACCCTAGGGATGTCTGATTTCATGGCCCGTGCACATTTGTTTTGAAATTTATAATAAGCCGGTCGGATTTAGCAACCTCTCACCTTTACAACAATGGTTCTCAACCTACTTGTGTATTGGCACAGTGAAAATTTGGAGGAGAAATTTAAAGAACTGACACACAGGAGCAACCCCAGGTCTGGTGACATACTCATTTCAATGCAGCCTAGGCAATGGAATTTTTACATGCTCTCCAATTTATCTTCGTTGCCAAGGTTGAGAACGACTGCCCTATCTGAAGTTTCAGGGATTGATGGGAGAAGACTAAGAAGGCTGAGACACTTTTTGGTCAGTCCTAGTTTTCAGAGAGCTGGCTTCTTGGACGAGACTCTCCAAGAAGTCCTTTAAATGCTACCTTCTTGGGACTGAGATTAAGCTTCAGGGCATCACTAGGAATACAAAACACTTAGGAAGGGAAAGGAGCAAGTATTTGAAAGAAATATTTGAAGAGTTGATTTAGGACACACAGGATTTGATGCCAGAGAAAGTCCTTATTTTGTGAAGAAAAGAGTATTCCGTGTAGGTTGATGTGGCAACAGGTTTCCACATAGGAGCATAACCAAAGATCATGGCAGAGATAAAAAGGCTATAATTTTGGTGGACAATATAAAAGTTATTCACATAATAGGCAAAATAATATAATTAGGAAAGGGACGATGGGTTTACTTCTTGTATACCCATTTACCTGTCACATGTGACAATGGGCTATTTAACAAACGAATTCCCAGTGCATTAAACTGTATAGCAACTGGGCCAGCATTATTTGCTTCTAAGCTATCCATTCACTCCCTTGTTCTTCAATGCTGAGTGCTCTTCTTATATTAAAGAACTGGAGGGTAGGGTTCGCAGCCAGTAGCATGGTAGTTAAGGCATTGAACTCCCACATGGCCTACTGGGGTTTGATTCCCAGGCATGGCAGCATGAAAACCATGCCAGGAGCGGGTGTCTGCATGCCTAAAACACCAAGAGAAGAATGAAGGAGAAGGGATTGCAGTGTGGCCATCCCCCTGGGAGGTGAGTTTTCACTTTTTCTCACTTCATCTCTGTCCCAGTGAGTGCATGCACCCAATGGGCGGAAAATTTATATATTAAAGAAAAAAAGAATCAGGTTTGTGGGATAAAATGTTATTTCAAAAATCAGGGACCTTTTAGATGTTTTAGAGAGTGATACTTACTTTATAGAAAGTCTTTTTTTTGGAGATGTTTTTGCTATAGGGTGCGTGTGCTCGCCAGAAAGACAGAGAGAGACAGACAGAAAGCGACAAATCACCCCCCGGGGGGGGGAGGGGAATGGCCATGCCACAATCCCTTCTCCTCCTTTCTCCTTTTGGGATTTTGGGCATGTATGCACACACGCCCAGAGTGAGTTTAAGCCGCCAAGTCCGGGACTCAAACAGCGGTCGACTCCATAGGAGTCCAGCGACATAGCCATTACGCTAACTGCTGGTCCCAACTTCTTAGAAAGTCTTGATTGTTCCTCCATCTTGCCATCAGAAGTGAGTTCCTGATCTGAAATAACAAGGAAACATCCTCAAGGCCAGGAGAGAAAAGAAAGTAGGAAGGTTGAGGGCTTCTGAATGAATTCTGAGTACAACTGGGGACAATTTCATGAATGAGTGTAATCATGATTGATAGTTGTGTTCCCTAATAAAGAGTTTAGCTGTATTTCT